TGCTGTCCATTAGTGTGACAAACATCACCAGGAAATACGCTTTACTCTCTCGTCCATCGTGCACTTGAATATCTATTAAAACATCACCTTACCTTGAATCTGCCATCAGAGGCTCGCAGGACTGAGTAAACACAGCAGTGCTGCATGAAACGACTGGTTCAACACGAGTGAGGAGAGAGAATCACTCAGAGAAATAGAGGGAGAGAGAGAGAGAGAGGGAGAACAAAACTGTGGAGGGAGGGAAAAGGATGAGAGAATGTGAGCGAATCGTGAGAGGAGAGAGAGAGTATATGTGTGTAAGAATGCAGGTAGTAGGCTAGTTGTAGTAGTTGCTATTGCAATGAATACGTGATGGGCTTATGAGGGGGTGCGGATAATTTCTCAGACATTAAATTGAATAGAGTCCCAAAAGCCATACTTACAGAAGATTTATGGCACAGGCACACTCATATGAGGCCGGAAAAGCATAAAGCATTAATAACTCCCAGGCAAAAGGCACCTCTGTTGAAATTTTCCATCTAAATGCATGCAGAATTTACAGATTTATTACGTCTTTGACAGATTTAAGGCATAGTGTCAAAGGCAACTCTAATGATGCTTTGGTTCCGTATAAATTAGGGATCACTGATATTACATTTTGGTAGTCATTTTATCATGTTAAATTATCATGGCTGATATTAAATTCTGTAATATTTGCTTTAATTCAATTTAAATAAAACACTAAAATTAAAATCAATCATTTTAAACACTACAAGTGAATTTAGGCATCATACATTTATAATGTACAGTATGAAAAATGGATATTCATTTTCAGATTAGCTAAAGATTACATTTAATAGTGTTACCAAATTAGTGTTTTTAAAGAATTAACTTTAAACTAGCATGCACAATGAAATATTCAATGTCGGCCAACATGTAGGCTATACAATATAAACAGATATCAAAGAATTAAGACAAAATATCTAATATCAGCTGATAACCAATATGGTACTATTATATTGTGCATCTCAATATACATTACGGAATATACTGTATATTCATAATTTAATATGAAATCATAAAAATATATATAATTTTTATTTATGATATATTCAACTACAAATTTTATAACATTTTTGCAACTGCAATTTCTATGTAAATGTAATTTGTTCAACTTTATTTGTATAGCGCTTTTCAAAATACACATTGTTTCAAAGCTATCTTTACAGAAAATAATGAACGTTTATAATATCTTAATATGATGCCTTACAGCAGATTAGAGCTGGGTGATGATATAGTTTATATAATTTGCGAAGATACAAGCAATCAAGCATTTGAGATATACTATATAGTAGCCTACAGTATATATCACCCTATGCAAGTATACTGTCTGTATACTTATATAAACAGCTGGGAGATAATATAATTAAATTTTGCGACAACTTAAAAAACGTTGCCTTTCTGCAGCATTAAACAGTCTGTTAATGCAGCTTCAGATGAAGCTTATGCTTTTGCTGTGTAAAGACTGCATTGGATTGCAACACATAAGCAAAGGAAACAAACAGTTCAGAGCTCAAGTTCTCACAGTAAGCTTTGCAACACAATGAGAACAAGAATCAGCTCAAAGAGGAAGATTCCACTCCACAGTTGTTTTTTCACATGCAGACACATGTGCCTCACTGGCCATTAGAACAGCATGTGGTCAATGCGGGCGGCCACTACTGGTGTCCAATCAGATCAATGTCCACTCACACACACTCTCACTCGCACATACTGGAGGAACATCAATAATCTGGATTCACGAGCAGTACATCATAGATACGAAGGGGTACATGACATATCTGATGAGTTTTGTGGAAATGTCACTACAAATGCAAGAAAACCGTTTCCACTGTGCTCAGCAACAACCTCAAGTAGTGGCTAATGCAGTCTTCCACTAAAAGAGCCTGTTGAACATTGTCTGGATTTTTAATTCGTCTGTTTGTTTGAGCTGTTGTCTCCATCTCTTTCAATCTCTTGACAGTTTAGTGTTTAAGAGCCATTGCGCCTTCTAATTGGTGCACTTTCTGGGGTTGCCTTGGTAACCCTCTTTGGAAATGTTCTTTGGTGTTCTGCCATAAGGTTTAATTGGATGAACATATGTATATATGCCATTAATCCGAAAATTACCATATTTTCAAATAAGGTTTCGCATTTTATCAACCCGTTCTGTTCCCTGCAATCATTTGACTAGTTGACAGGAATTAAAAATGAGCATATGGCACTGCAACACCTAACAGCCTGCCAGAGGTGTGACTTCTCTCTGAAAAGAAATCCATGTAGTTTAATTTACATTTATATGCCAACAAACCCAGCATAAGATGGGCTGTAGTCATATTAGCACCATATTAAAGGCTTTTTTTTTTCTTTTAATGTTATGTTTAATCAATTAAATATCTATATTAAAATGCAGTAAATATTTTTTAAAGAAAGCTAAAAATGTATCATGTTACTTTAGCTTTTTAATATCAAATGGTTTTTATTTATTATTACTTTTATTATTATGTTTTAATTTCCATATTGTGTTATGCATTTTATTTAAATATATATATATATTTTACTTTATAATCATTATAAAGTGGTTTTATCTTTAATATTATATTAATTAGGATATTTACATTTTTATTCATGTTTATTTGCATTCATAAATTCATTATTAAAATAATATATTAAAAAATATGCATTATTATATAAAATTATATTATATAAAATTATATAATTTTAAATAATTTTTTTATTTCAACTTTAGACTATTTTACTACTTTTAAAATAAAAAATGATTGTTTAATTTAGATTACAAATAAAAAAGAAAATTGATTATTTTATTTTTATATTATAAATGAAAAAATTATAAATGATAAAAGTAACTACTGTGCTTATTGTTGTTGTTGTTTTTTTTACTGTAAATCACTTTGAGATTTCACTTTGAATTTCTTGCATGAAAGGTGCTAGACAAATAAAGATTGTTATTATTAAAATATGATAAAAATCTAACATAAGAAGCATAATATGCATCCTAGTAACTATCACAAAATAATTTTGAAGACAATCCCAAGGTCATTTTATGAAATTGTTGTGACACTAGTCTGCGATGCAATAAAGCAATATTTAGTTTCATGCATTCTTTTTTGGACTCACAGCTCAGATGTCTCCGCTCTGCTCACAAAAGCAATTTGATCTAGTGCAATAAAACCCTAAAGAGATCAGAAACTGATAATATAATCACCGGGGGTGGGGGGTGGAGAAGGAGACGAGAAATTAAGGATGTAAGACTAGAACTCCTCACTCTTTGACTGTTGAATTGATGCTAACATACCAGTTATTTGCTTTGCTCTATGCTGGCTGGTCTGACTGGTGGAGCAAGGAACTGTAACCTTTAATATTATATAACAAGAGACATGCGCGCAAACACAACCGTTACAAAACAGGCCTGCAGCGTACAATCTTTCACTAGAATAACTCGCTTGTTTATGTAAAACAACATCAGGCCAGATTACCCTTGTATGTATTTGGCTGTGGCAGCGCTAATGCTGATCACAATTCTGATCAGAGTTTGCAGGCGACAGATGACCCACTCAGGCGGAATTAGAGAAATGAACTGGTCTGTGTAAACTTTCCTGTCCACACCCATCTGCGGCAAGAGTGAAAATGTGAAATTCAATACCGTAATTACTGTGATTCCCCTGGCGTGACACAGCTGTCTGCTCATGTGCTGTTTCTGCTGACAAACATCCATTAGCCGCTGATGTCTGATGTCTCGGAGGCCTTGATTCAAAAGCCTTGTTCAATTACTTTGAGAACATTTTTTCAAAACTAACAGCTCAATAAAATCTTGACCTGGAGAGTCAACATAAGTGAGTATCTGCTAATGGGGCCAACAAGGGACATCCATCCAGAAGTCCGTCAGACTCCTAATGGTTGACTAAAGTGACAGCATACGTGAGCTGAGCAGTAATCATGCAGAGAAGACACCATGAACTGATCCATACTAATGCATGCACATTGTAAATGCAGTTAAACATAAGTCTGAAATTTCCTTTCCATATAGCAACAGGTTGGCTAATGACTGCAAATGTTAAACAAAATTCTACAGCTAACTACAAACCAGCATATTATAAAATTATGTTTAGAAACAGCCATATATGAAACATACTAATCTACATATATAACAAAAAGTTTAAAAGTTAGGTTGGTGCTTTTTAAAATATTTTTTTCAATAAGTATCTTATGCTCACCAAGACTGTATTTATTTAATCAAAAATACAGTAAAAGGTAATATTGTAAAATATTATTACAATTTAAAATATCTGTATTTTAATATATTTTAAAACGTAATTTATTCCTGTGATGACAAAGCTGAATTTTTAGCAGTCATTACACCAGTCTTCAGTGTCACATGATCCTTCAAGTATCATTTCTTATTATTCAATGTTGAAAACGGTTAATATTTTTATGGAAACTGTGATACCTGTTTTAAGGATTCTTTGTTGAATAGAAAGTTCAAAAGAGCAGCATTTATTTGAAATATAATTATTTTGTAACATTACAAATGTCTTTAATGTCAGTTTGATTATTTTAATGCATCCTTGCTCAATGAAAGTATAATGCTCCCATAATTGCCAACAAAAAGAAAAGGGATGATGTTTAATTGCAGTGATAGATAGATAGATAGATAGATAGATAGATTTTTTTTCTTTAGATTTTACTGATTTACAGAAAATATACAATACTGCAACCCACTGTAATGAGAAGCCATCAGTGGTTTTACCTGGTTACTGTTGTCTTACTATAAATACCTGTACGTGTTACCATGCAACATCACATGACTGTTACATTATGCGAGTTTTGGTAACTTATGGTAAACATTTTTACTAGGGGAGACATACAGTGCACCTTATGTCAAGTGAAGTCTTGATTGGTTGTTTTTCATCACTACACAAGGCAATGTCGTATTGTTAGATAAGACGTTTAGCAATAAGAGGTGTTATTTACGATATCTGTTAAGTTTCGGTTCCACTTTCTGTTCTGGATAAGTGAAATTATCATCCCCAACACAAGTAGTGTTAGTAACCACTCATCCCACTCTAACTATGGACGAAGAAGAGCTGATTTTATGTACTCACTGGTGAGTCTTTTATAATGTAACGTTACTGTAACTTAGTATAACGCACAGAGATTCGGTAAAACGTCTATTTATGTTTACTGCCAACGTAGCATGTTTAAAAAAAATGACAGTGTTCGACGAATGTAAGATCACAGCCAATTCACAGCATAGCCTACGTTTCTGTCTGTCTACTGTAGCAACAACAAAATATCGAAAACATAAACACATTCTACTCAACAATACTCAACAATAATAACTATTTCGTTATGTTGTCGACAACTATGACGTGACTTAAACAAAGTGAAACTATTCCCATAGCAGCAGCTGTGTAACATGGCGACGGATTACGTTTATTTAAAATTGCGAATTTTAATTAACACTATGAGAAACAACACACGAACTTTGCTAGCTTAATTTGGTCATTTGCTGAATTGCTGAAATTGAGCAGGATTGATTAGTGAAAATTTTCAACACTATAGTTTGTGACGTAAACACTCTCGGGCTGTTAATTTAGCCGGTTTGCCGTTCACTAATAGGAAATGGGAATATAGGCCTAGTTCAACCAAAATGCCTGGCATCATTTACTCACGTGCATGATGTCCTTTCAAACCATTATGACTTTCTTCGGGGAACACAGCAGGTGTATGTGACTTTTTGACTTTTTGGATTTTATCCTTTACTCAGTAACCTATAATGAATAGGCTATAAAAGGGGACTGGACCTTTTGCGGAGTAGTCCATATGACTCTTGCTCTATATTCCAAGTCTCCTCAAGCGATATGATAGCTTTATGCGAAAACAGGCCGATATATGTTAGTCTTTTTTTACTACTCTTTGCCTCCAGTGAGCTCTTAAACCTGTGACTGGGTCATTGAGACCCAGTGTTGAACTGGAGAATCGGATCATTCTGACTGGCAAACGAGAAACCTTTTTTGTGAACTAATGAAGCAATTCATCTAAAAGATCTTTCTCAAAAGAATGATTCATTCACGAATTAGACAATCGCTGCTTCCATTATGAACTCCCGAAGACCCCATTGAGAAATATGTTTATAATATATTACTATTTTATATATATATATAATTTATTTACATCAGTCCCTATTCAAATTCATTATATGGAAAAGACCATGATATTCTTCCAAAAATATTTTGTGTTCCAGAGAAGAAAGAAAGTCATACAGGTTTGGAGCAGCATGCCGGTGTGTAAATAATAGCAGAATGTATATTTTTGGGTGAACTGTTCCTTTAAGTGCCATTAACAGTGTAGTGTCATAACACCTTTTCCATTCTCCAGTCTCTGTAAAGAATCTCTCCAATGTTTTCATGCAGCAATAAAGAGGTGGCGAAGGCAAACTACGACCTGCATGAACCACACTGTAAGAGGTTTCTGTGTATATGCCCTGACTGCGATGAAACTGTGCCTCGAGATCAACTGGAGGAGCATAAAACCGAACAGCACACAGAGGTCACGACCAAACCACTCAACACTGATTAACACTATGATTTTTGCTGCTTTTTACAGGCTCTTGGCCCTGTATGTCACAAAAGATTATTTGTGATGCATTTTCTCACTAAACGTTTTCCACTTGACTTGCTTATTACTCATCACTGTAATCTCCCCCTCTGAGAAACCATGTCGGTGGTCTCATTTTTCATTATGCCTCACAGGTAAAATGTAAGATGTGCAATAAAAAGAAGGAGCGAAGGCATCTGTTGGATCATGAGGTGAATATTCAATCTCACACCGTGAAAATTTTATGTCTGAGGCTGCTCTCTCTCTCTGAATGTTTTCACCCTTATTCCTTTGCAGAGCTGGGTAGTACTGATTACATGTAATCTGGATTACGTAATCAGATTCCAAAAATTAAGTCCTTGTAATTAGAGATCAGTCACTAGTCAGGTGGCTACACAGCATTTGACCACTGGATTTACAAAAATCATTTCAAGTGTATCAACGTTGCATCAACTACTGATGAACACATTAATATTTATCTGAATTATCACTCTGTATGTTACTTAACCATCTATTTCAATGTCTTTGGAAGGCATTTGTCTTTCAAACACATTAAAATGCACAAATTCACATCATTTCTTATTTACATGCAATGCAGACATTCCCAAACTTTTTTTGTCATCTGAACATCTTTCGTTTAATATATTTACTTAAAAGTACCCCTGAGATTTTTAAATAAATTTTTAATAACTAAGTATCACATTTGCATGTTCAAGGTTCTCTGACATTGGTTAATGGTCATATGACATGCAGGTAAACAAATAAAATATATATTTTTAAATTTCTTTTCATGTTAATTTAAAATGATTTCTTTTATTTCTTTTTTATTTATGTTAATTTCAACGAATGGAATATATTTTCTTTCTTTTTGTATTTTTATATCAATATGGTACAAGATTATCCTATTTAAATCAATGTGATAAGTGAGTAAGGTCCAAAGTAATCTAAAAGTAATCTGATTATATTACCTGAAATGTGTAATGTAATGGATTACGTTACAAACTACAATTTTTGTCATGTAATTTGGAATCAGGAACGGATTACAATTTTCAAGTAATCTACCCAGCTCTGTTCCTTTGTTGTTTCTGTCTCTCCTTGTTTACAGAAAGACGAGTGCTCCGAGAGGCCTCAGATCTGTGAGTTTTGTCAGCTTGAGCTTCCTCTCAGCAGTCTAAAAGTGCACAAAGTGTCCTGTGGGAGTCGCACAGAACGCTGCTCTGACTGTGGCCGGTACGTTAAACTGATGGACCAGCTTGATCACGCTCAGATCTGCTCTACTACCACCCCCACAACGTCAAAGGGCCTTGTCGCTGAAGATGATACCTCTGACACAGATGGTTAGTCAATGACATGATCAGTTTGAAACATTATAGAGGTGTTATAGGTCTTAATATTGTCAAGTTCTGCGTATTTTAGGGTATTCAGACAAATTGTGATTGTAAAATACTGATTTGGCATATCTGTTATCTCCAGAGCTGACCATGCTACAATGTCAGAATTGTCTGAAATACATTCCCTCTGACATTCTGAAGGAGCACAAGGTAAAATGTCAATAAAAAAGATAAGGGTTATAATATGTAATTATGAAAATCTATTTTAAACACCCCAAATCTTTCTGTTATTCTTTTTTACTAGCTGCTTTGCAAACAGTCCTTAAATTGTGCAGATGTTGAGGATGATGACTCTGAGGATGAAAAACCCAGTCCTGGAAACGTCAGAGCTGCAGGTTTCTCCTTCTCATCATTGCAAAAGAAGAAGAGAGAAACAGAAGACAGAAACATTGACCTGGATAAGATAAGCACCTGTCCGCTCTGTCATCTGGCTCTTCCTGTAAAGACACTCGAATGGCATGAGGTACAAGTCACTGTTTTGTACATAGTGATATTTTAAACTTGTGCAGCCTCAGTTGAAAAACAATCTGAACAGTAATCTTGTTGTTGATTTATACCATTTACTAGAAAATTTAGTAAACTTTAAATTCAGTAAACTTTAGTAAAACTAGTAATTTATTATACCAAAATAAATACACTATTGTTCAAAAGTTTGGGGTCGTTTAGATTTTTAAATGTCCTTGAAAGAAGTATTTTATGCTCACCAAAACTGTAATTATTTGATAAAAAAGACAGTAAAAATAGTAATATTGTGAAATATTACAATTTAAAACAAGTGTTTTCTAATTAATTATATTTCAAAATGTAATTAATTCCTGTGATGCAAAGCTGAATGTTCAGCAGCCATAACTCCAGTCTTCAGTGTCACATGATCCTTTAGAAATCATTCTAATATGCTGATTTGCTGCAAAGATGTAATATTTTAAATTATTATCAATGTTAAAACATTTGTTCTGCTTAATATGTTTGTGGAAACTGATACATTTTTTCAGGATTCTAGAAAGTTCAAAAGAACAAAATTTATTTGAAATAGTTTTTTGTAACAATGTAAATTCACTTTATTGTATCCTTGATGATTAAAAGTATTAATTTCTTTGAAAAAAAAAAAAAAAGTCATCTGAAAATTGACCCCAAACTTTGCAACAGCACTAAAAATTATGTACATTTGAGCCTCTGCTGTATATATACACTGTTGATTAATTATGAGTTTATGTGTTTATATTTTATTTTCATTTTTAAAGACAAAATGTGAATTATACAAACATCTGAGCCTGGCATGATGGCTGGTGAAAGAAAAGCTAAATATGTAAGTATACAACTAATATATTATGTATCACCAGTATAAATTTGCAATGCAACTGACGCCAACTATAAATTATAATAAATGTACAAATTACCTTACAGGGTTGCTGGAAACTCCAATCACCAATCATCAATCATCACAATGCTTCTTATAAATCACCATTGTCTGCTTTTAATTAGAAAATTTTAAAATTGACTTATTAGGCCAAGTGAAGGACAAATGATGCAAAAGTTTTAGACATCCTGCGTGAGGGTACTTTATGTGCATACTTTATTGGTTTTTTTTATGACTATTAACCCTTTTTATGATGCAGTTGTTTGGCTCTTTCATACTTGTTTTTGTTTAAATGTTACTGCGTGTTAAATCCGGACAAACCTCAAACCACAGCAAAAAATAAAGATAACACAAGACAAACAAACGATGTGTATGAGGTGCATGAAAATATTTAGTGCATAATATATTCTAGACTTTAAATTATTTCTCTCTCTGCCAACATCATATCTTTGTTTAAAATGCCTGAGGATCCCGCAGACCATCTACCAGAGGAAGAGTATTGTGAAAATCATGAGAAAATAGCCATTTATTAGGGGAGACAACAAGATGGCAGCGTTTCATTCAGGATTCTTTCCTTAACATCGTAATATTCCTATAGTATCTTTTAATTTTCAGGATTCTAGAAAGTTCAAAAGAACACAATTTATTTGAAATAGTTTTTTGTAACAATGTAAATTCACTTTATTGTATCCTTGATGATTAAAATGATTAATTTCTTTGAAAAAAAAAAAAAAAGTCATCTGAAAATTGACCCCAAACTTTGCAACAGCACTAAAAATTATGTACATTTGAGCCTCTGCTGTATATATACACTGTTGATTAATTATGAGTTTATGTGTTTATATTTTATTTTCATTTTTAAAGACAAAATGTGAATTATACAAACATCTGAGCCTGGCATGATGGCTGGTGAAAGAAAAGCTAAATATGTAAGTATACAACTAATATATTATGTATCACCAGTATAAATTTGCAATGCAACTGACGCCAACTATAAATTATAATAAATGTACAAATTACCTTACAGGGTTGCTGGAAACTCCAATCACCAATCATCAATCATCACAATGCTTCTTATAAATCACCATTGTCTGCTTTTAATTAGAAAATTTTAAAATTGACTTATTAGGCCAAGTGAAGGACAAATGATGCAAAAGTTTTAGACATCCTGCGTGAGGGTACTTTATGTGCATACTTTATTGGTTTTTTTTATGACTATTAACCCTTTTTATGATGCAGTTGTTTGGCTCTTTCATACTTGTTTTTGTTTAAATGTTACTGCGTGTTAAATCCGGACAAACCTCAAACCACAGCAAAAAATAAAGATAACACAAGACAAACAAACGATGTGTATGAGGTGCATGAAAATATTTAGTGCATAATATATTCTAGACTTTAAATTATTTCTCTCTCTGCCAACATCATATCTTTGTTTAAAATGCCTGAGGATCCCGCAGACCATCTACCAGAGGAAGAGTATTGTGAAAATCATGAGAAAATAGCCATTTATTAGGGGAGACAACAAGATGGCAGCGTTTCATTCAGGATTCTTTCCTTAACATCGTAATATTCCTATAGTATCTTTTAATAAATATTAGTTGATATGTTTAACTGCATTTTAAAATGTTGTTTATTGCTCTATTGGTTCATTTGTAGTTTAGTAGAATTATACTAGAATTTTATTTTTTTGGAAGTAAACTTAGTCCTCCTAGTAATGATGAATCTAATAAAATTAAGTGACTATGTTTGTAAAAATGTAGTTTTTTGAACAACCAGTTCTGCTCGTGGAAACAAAAGTGCAAGAGTGACATCTAGTGGATATTTTTGTATTCCTTTTGTTAGAGATCAGTTTTGAGAGTGCAAATTCAAGAATAAACATCGTCATAATCTCATAAGCAACTTCAACTCTTTTCTTATCTGTTGACAAACCATTATATAAATCTTTCTCTCTTTATGAACTTCCATGATTGCTGTGCTACAGAACAGACATAAAATTACATATGGTATGGCACACTTAAAAGATTAGTTCACTTCACAAGACGTGAATTGATGGACTGGAGTGGTGTGTGGATTACCTGTGTATTATTGTGACTCTCATTCTGACGGCACCCATTCACTGCAGAGGATCCACTGGTGAGCAAGTGATGTAATGCTAAATTTCTCCAAATCTGTTCCAATGAAGAAACAAACACATCTACATCTTGGACAGCCTGAGGGTGAGAAAATCGTCAGCACCCATTTCTGGGTGAACTATTCCTTTGATCTGAAGGGAGCAAAACAGTTCAAGTAAAAATCTGTATTATTTCAAATTATATGTTTTATTTTCATCCTTTACATTGGGTTTTAAAGTAGGAGACATTTTTTAACAGTGTGCTGACTTTTCATTTCTGGGAGATCAAACACAGGTCCGTAGGAGCTACAGCTAAGATAATGTGCCTTCAATCAGAATTTAAAATCACATCTAGAGGAAAAATAAAACACAATAATGAGTCTTTGGAAATTCAAGTTAAGATAAACAACTAAAAACAGATAATGCACATTGGCTAAAAGATCAAAAACATTTACAGCAGGTCTGTTAAGCAGTGCTTGAGCCAGAAACTGATTTAAAAGTATGGCGAACCATCAGAATAACAAAGCTAAATAAAGAAAAATCTAATAAAAATAAGATTACATAAATTAAAAACGGCCAATTTAATGGCCACTTTGCAATATATTAAAAAGCACCACAAATATAATTATCTTAAATTACCAGTCTATTTTTAAATACATTTTTGCCCATTTAAATTACCTGTATAATAGTGCACGATTGGTCCAAACAGTCTATGAGACCCAGCCATCTACTGAAAATATTCAGTCGGTAAATACAAGGAACTCTACAAAGAACCTATTTCAGCTCCTAATGCTTCTTATTTTGGTTATGTTGTTATAAACAGGGAAATCTTTTTAGTCCTGTCAGCTCTATAACACAACAAAATTTGAGATTTAAAGATTGCCATATACTCTAGTGTCAATATATCCTCAAGCTTATTGTATTTTTTCTTTGCTATCAGCATTCACTGTTTTTTGTAACTTGCTCCCAAATGTAGCTTTCAATAACATTGCCATGTTCAGGAGCTACGGATGTCCATTGACCTTGTCCTGCAGGAGAGCCAAGGCATTGGTGGAGAAGTCACCCAGGACGTGGAGTGTGTCACGCTGCAGTTGTAAGGTGTCACGTGAAAACTGCTGCTGGGTGTGGACCAATCTCTGCACAGACTCCGCGAGCGACTCCAGTGAGCGAGACAGCGACCCTATCAGCAGTGTGGTGGCCTGCTGTTCCTGCAGGCTGAGCGAGGCACTCTGGGATAAATGTTCCTGCAGACTGCGAGGCTCCACAGGAGCAGGTTGGGGAGGGAGCCGAGCAGGAGCTGAACGTGATGATGAGGCAGCTGTAGAAGGTGCAATAAATGTTGGGATACTGGCAGATGAGGGGCCATTAAATGTGTTGTGATTAGGTTTCTCTCGAACTTGGCTCTTCTCAGCAATAGCACGGCTGAGGAATCCAGGAATACCAACAGGATTCTGGTTTGATTGGCTTCTTGGTTGAATAAACTGCATGTTTCTGCCTGGAAGGGTAAGAAACATGTTAATTCAGACCAGGGCCGTCCTTAGCTGACGCGGGGCCCCCCTCGGTCCATTCGAGATCCGGGGGGGGTGGGAGTTTCCCCCTCGGTACGTTCACCGCGGGGCCCCCTCAAGCACAGGGCCCGGTGCGAACGCACCAGTAGCACCCCCCTAAGGACGGCCCTGATTCAGACATTAACATCATATTTGAAAACCAGAAACTTAAGGTCATATTTGAAAACCAGAAACTTAAAAGTTGTTTATTATATAAAATGGATATATAAAATGTTATGGTCAATTAACAATAAGAGTATCCAAAATAATGGACAAAATATGATTTTCAATTCAAGTTTAAATTAACAAAAACTAAAAATGTCACTTGGTGTAACCATCAAATAAAAATGTCAAACTTCTTAAAAATAAATAAAAAAAATTTTTGTTTGTTTGTTTGTTTGTTTGTTTTTCAAGGTATACATGTATATATTTTTCAAGGTCAAATATATTTATGAAATAATTAAGTTAAGGTGTTTTTCAAATATTAATTACATTTTTTGTAAAAAAAAAAAAAAAGAAATAAAAAAAAATTAAAAGAATACTAATCAAATACATAATGCTCATCTATTATGCCAAACACAAAATAAAGATTTTTAGTATCATCAACCCTGACATTTTTGTACTTTAACACAAAAGAACATGCATCATCGTGATTTTTTTAAATATATTTTTTAATAAGTTGATCGAGACAAAATAAACATGCCATTGACCGATTAAAAGAATCAAAATGTGTGTCAAGTATCTGCATTATTTCTTACCTTCCTTTTCTGATATGTCAGTCTGGACATCTGTTAGAGGCACTGATGAATCTGTCAATAGAAAAAAAAGTAACAAATTTATTACATCTTAAACATTCAAATAAAAACCAAACACTCAGTAATGATTCTGAATCACCTAAACTTACTGAAAAATAAAACAAAAAAGGAACTCACTGCTGAACATCATGTGAGCAGGAAGCTCTGTATCACTTTTGCAAGGGATAGCAGTGTGAAAAGGAGGTGGCATTGGCAAACCAAACGAATGAGGCCTGCCATTTGCCATGTGTGAGGAGCTGTGTGGTATCTCCGAGAGATCTGGAATGTCCTCGTCTTCATCATCCATTTGGTCATCAATCGCCAAATTGCTCACATTTTTGTTAGGGTTAGACATTTGAAGGATCTGGTGCACCATGGTTTCTATAGGCGACAGCTCTTGTGCGATTTGGGTGGCCGTGGCTCCCGATGCCCTCATTGCGGCCACCCTCCGCTTGGTGTCACATTTGAGGTCTGCCCATTTCTTGATAACTTCAATAATTTCTCGGTGACACTCACTGACCTCATTGATACGTGCCGTCAGAGCCGCCCATGTGCGGTTTTTCAGATCCTTCGAAATGCCCCGGTTGAACTTTCCTGTTGAACAAGTTCAAAGAGTTCATTATCCTTCTCATATGCAAAGCAGAATTTACATACTTTCAGAGCGTTTTCAGATCCTACTGAATTATGTGATATGAAAATGAAAAGGTATGTCTTACCGACTAGAATATGCCGTTTTTTCTGCACCTCACTGAGCAGCAGTTCAACCTCCTGGAATGTGAAACGTGACTTTCTTTTCTTAAAGCGCATCAAAGCACCTCCTGGCCCTCTGTAAGGGTATGGCATGAATTCTGACATCCTTCTTCCTCCGCTCTTCGAAACTAATCACAACCAAATCAAACAGGGCTTCTAGGCAGCATCCATCAGAAGGCTTGATGAATTATATGGCTGAAATAATAACAATAAAAACATTTTTAAATCACAATTATTATTCACCCGGAAGATTTCAACATAATTTAACTGATCGATTCTCTTCAACCTACCTTGCAAAAAAAGAAAACGCGTGTGACAACACTAATTAAACACATCTAACCTGTTCTTACACACTGTCTGTGCCAAAACATCTTAATATTCAGCTAACGCGGAGTCAAAATATTAATTTTATTTAAAACATTTTAAATACTTTATTTTAATTATACATATACACAATTAGCTTTGTATATAACACGTTTATATACTATACATAAATATACATAATGCTATAATAAACTTACTGTCCCTCTGATTTATTATGATCATGTGATTAATGTTGCTCGTGTTCTGAGCTTTAAAAGGACAGAACAAGCACAGACAGAGATTATTTGGTCAAAGCATAGAATCATATTTTTCTAGGATCCTTTTACTTTAAATTAACTGTTACAACTAATTGCGGCGTGATCTCACACCGCCTCGCCGGTGTGCCCATATGCTTCCTGCTTCTTTGTTGTTTTCCTGCCTACTCGTCAGAGAGCAATAGGAACACAGAGAATCGAGCGAACGCCATCACGCACAGACAGCAAATATCTCGAGCGTCCAAATCTGCCAAATCTCAAATATCTCGCGTACAGTATTCGCTCGAACGCGTAAAGATAGATTCAGAAATCGCAACAAGCAAACATTCCGCCAGGAAACGCAAACAGATTTGTATTTTTGTTTGTCGTTAGCCTGCCGAGTAGAAAAAATGGACTAACGTTACGCACGCATTTCGTAGACGCATTTACGAACGAATTTGGAGTCAAATCGAAACTGCGCGCATCGGAACTGCGATAAATTTACTTGTTACTGATATTCGTGATGGATTGAGTGGTATTTACCTACAGTGCGGCCGAATGTGTCCTAGGATTTGTCGGTGTAGTC